CACTTAATATTACGCAGAAATATAAACAAAATTCAGTTCAACTCATTTAGATTCAAATTTATATTTTCTTCTTAAAAAAAAGAACGTACCAACTTTACTTAAAGCAATAAAAATTAAAACAACTACAACACATTTCGACTTTCTCACAGTCCAATATTAAAAGAAGAAAAGATTTTACAACTTATAATGTTTCTTAGAACTAAGTTTGCCCTCTTACCGTATAATTTTCTGTATATTGCCCGAAAAAGGGTCAGAAATTACCGACTTAAATACGCCCAAAACATTTTTTTACATCATTGGAAAAAGTTATAGGCGTGTCCAATAAAAAAAAAAGAAATTGTTTATGATTATCATTCGAGTTTTGCCGAACCATTTCCATATTTAAATTTTTGTTTGTTGAATTGAACGTACTAAGAATGCCTTTAGATTTTACAAAAAAATATTGTTGCTAAGTTTTTTTTTACGATTTTTTGTTTTGTTTGTAACATTAACAAAAGTAGCCAAGTACTTCAGAAAAAGTTTTTTTTTTAAATAGGTATGCAAATACAGACTTTTCTTTAAAGAATTTAACGTTTAGAATGGCAGACTAACTACAACTGATGAAATGACAGAGTTAAAGACACATTTTCGCTTTATTCCCTAGGGCTTTCTCTTAAGGGGGGAAAGTCATCGAATGACTAATCCCGCCTGCGTGAGGCGGGAGGGGGTGTCAGACTCTTACTGACTAAAAACCACCCCGTTCCTACTCCTGACCTTCGAGCCGGAGCCCCGGCAACCCGTTAAATCCTCCACGGCATTCCCTAGGGCTAGGGAATAAAAGCGAACAGTAAACATGTAATATCCATTGATACCACTTTCTAAATCATTCCAAAGGTAAGCAAAAGCAAAACAGCAGAAACAAAATAGGTATCTTCTATTTTCAGCACATCAATAATTGCCCACACCCGACGGTTTCGATTTCCATAACTGTACAATCGTAGGTACAAAATTCCATGCAGAATAATAAATCAGTTATAAGTAACACTGTTATTAGCTCAGTATTTGAGCAGGCGTGGTCACGGTCGGTTTGATTGCAGGCTTCCATAGCAAACAAGGGCCTAATGATGGAGACGCTCCGAAGGTTTGGGCCGCAGTACTGCGACGTGGAGACCATGTTGTGGAACGTTTCTGTCATGTTGAGAGGTCTGACCCTCAATATAGACAGACGTAATAAGAAACGTAAGATTTTATGTGTTAATTTCGTGAAGAATTCCAAGCTTTCTTATATCTAGTTGTCGATTCTGTGGAAAGATATCTTAGTTAGACTTAGTTCCTCATCAGCCATCAGCCTAGTTTGTGTATCGTCAAAATAGGATAAGAATAGATTTTTGTATCTTTACTATGATGGACCAACGAGTGTATAACCTGAGTGCCTTAGAGGCCCAAGTGAATAGGTTGCTTAGGGGTCGATGTGCTCCATCGTAGGCCGCATCATGGCCTACCACTAGGCGAGATAGCGGTGAAACGTCGACCCACCAAATATATATAAAAAAAAACTTCTTCATCGCGGATGATGATTGTAACCTTCTAGAAGATTGTCTCTTAAGAAGTATCTGATAGAAGCATAAGAAAGAAACTGTTAAACGTATACTGGTCTAAAACCACCTACGCCAATGGAATACGAATTCTTCCTCTGTGGCGCAGTTTTATTGGCTGTGTACTTTTGTGGAAATCCATTAATTATACTTGAGGGTTAATTAATACAAGATAAGTTGATGTTCTTGAGGGCCATTTAATCACCATCATCCATCCACGGTCGTTGAATAGATTTTCACAAAAATCCTTTGATAAATTAAACCCAGGTATTAAAAAATGTCATAATCCATATTGTTTATAATTTCAGCTATCTCAATAGTAGTTTACATAATCTCTATTTCAATATGCCTTGGTTACTTCTACGTGTACTTGGTGTCTATGAGCTGGTTCGTGTTCTACCGCTGTCAGCAGACCGGTGACCTTCTGGCCGCCATCATCGTCTTCTCCTTGGGAGTCTCCAGCGAAATTGGAACTGTTAAACTTATTTTTATGTTTCTGCATATGTGAGTATGTAGCTTTAGAATGCCCTGTTTTATCTTATTAGAAATACTTAGATAATGATCTGTTTTCAAACAGTTTTATTTGGCTTGACCTGTTTGTTTGTTTGGGTCAAGTAATAGGGATTTGTCCCCTTTCCTGACCAGAGATCAATCTGATTTTTGGTATACACTCTATTTCTTGATGACAATACACATAAAAACCGTTTAACGTAAAATATTTTTTATGAATTACTTTTAATTATTAAAACTCGAATAGATAGCTGCGTGACGCATAACATAACATCACTCACGCCTTTTATCCCCGAAGAGGTAGGCACTGCGTGATAATTAAACATAAATATAGCTTGTTCATTTGATTAAGGGTGTTATAATCTCTGAAATTACAATTGTAATCTTAACATAGGTTGACAATGTTAAATTTATATTGGACTGGAATTTAACGTTTAATCACTAAGCGACAAGAAATACCCGTGGGTACTGTGTGTCGCTTTCCGCGAGCGCCTCAAAGTGCCATCGGACCATCACACATTGGTCTCAATAAGGCTGATGCCCGATACGGATGCTTTAAGTGTGGGAGAGCCATGCTTCGGCACGAATGGGCCGGCTCGACCGGAGTGATACCACGGCCTCACAGAAAACCGACGTGAAGCAACGCTTGCGTTGTGTTTCGTCGTGTGAGTGAGGTTACCAGAGGCCCAATTACCCTCCCCTTTCCCAATCTCCCCAATCCGCAAGGGCCACAAATCCCAAAAAACCGGTAACGCACTTGTAACGCCTCCGGTGTTCCAGGTGTCCATGGGCGACGCCGATTACTTACCATCAGGTGATCCGTCTGCCAGTTTACCGGCTTATGCCATAAAAAAAATCGTAGCCGAGGAAGGCCTAACGGGTTGCCGGAGCTCCAGCTAGAAAAGCAGTAGTAGGAATGGAATGGTTTGTAGTCAGTAAGATTCTGACACTCTTTTTCGCCTAACCCAAGGCGGGAGGCGGTATTGGATGATATTGCCCCCTGAAAAAAAGGAACAAGAAACAGGCATGTCTTCTCTATATTTCAAGGATTATTTTTATGATGTTTCATTCAGAGTTGAAGTGGAGTTGAACAATCAATTCATAATACCAGTCAGTAGTAGTTAACATAATCTAGACAACTTCTGCTAAACAATAAAAACAGTTTAAAACTCATTTGTAAACTGAATGAGACAAGTAATTATAAATTTTCACTTAGCAATTGTTAAAGTTTTAAACTTTAAAATTAGTTTCATCTTTTTAATTAAGTTACTAAAATTAGATTTTCTTTCAAATGTTGTTTATTGTTTTTAATTTTAATCGTAATGTTGGACTGCCTTGTTGGTCGAGTGGTCGTTAGTGCGATTCTCGAGTTGCGAAAAGTATTATTTGGTTTGAAGTGCGGTTATTGGCAAATATAGGAATACGCCACGGAATCTGGAATTAAGGGTACATCGTATATACCATTGTTTGCACCTCTGCCTATCCCTTCAGAAATAAAAGGCGTGAAGGTAAAAAAAATCTATTTTCAGTGGTAATCCAAGTTCAAATTTTTTGGTTTGAGATCTATATTAGTTTAAATTTTCATTCTAATGCCAGAGTACTGAAACACTCACGAAACAATCACGACACACTACTCAATCTTAAGTCACGCTTGACGTTTTGGATTAGATTCAGATATTAAATCCGACTGTTTTTTTCTGTTCTCTCAGTGGCAAAGTGCGGCGTATAGTGTCAGAATGCTTGGCCTGCGATGCCCTTGTTGTGGCTGGTTCCCGGTTCTCAGCCAATCTACTGAGCACTCTGACGCTGGTGAAGAAACGAGCTCTAGTGTTCTGGGTGGTAATCATAGGCAACGGTGTTGTGTACATTGTGAAACCTATCATAATGCCTGGCCGCCATTTTCCTGAAGACAAGTTTATACTTTATGGTAAGTATAAAGATAAAGATAAAGATATATTTATTTGTACAATCATGTGTGGGTAACATTATACATATCAATGCAAATGCAGATGATAAAGTGAACACTGTAACGTCTCAACATGTTTTGCCACAATTGGCGCACAAAATAATTATGAAATTTATAAAACTATATTGGGTTTATTATAAAAATAAATATAGTCTCAGACAGTAAGAAAAATAAAGAAATTCTTAGGAAAGAGACAACTGAAGTTAAAACATATGAAACATAATTATGTATTATGTTGGTTCATTCTAATTAAATCAAACTACTATCACGATTGAAGAACCTTTCTAACATTGAGTATAAGTACAGTGCTATATATTTATCTTTCGGAAGCTTAAATAAGCCTCGAACAATTTGATTGGACAGAGATAAAAAAATTGTCACAATTAACGGAATTTGATAATTTTATGATTACAAAAATTAAAGATTATAATAAACTAGCAAACTATCCAATACCTTCCCACAACTACAAATGCATACATAAAGACAAAATTTTGTAATCTATGGTAATGGTAAGTAATTCAAAGATTATAGAAATTAAGTACAAACTACATGATTAATTTTATTTTTTATTCTACACTACCTATTAATTTTTACATTACTATTTTTAATCTGTGCGTCGCGCCGTCTACGGAATGTCAAACCACAGAGTCAAATAAAAAATCTCGCGACTATTCCGTACATGATTCCGCATCACTGAGGTCGAACGGAAATCACGTTGCCGCTTCCAGCAGAACGGAACGGCAACGTCGCAAAAACGCTTGGGAGGGAAAGACATTCAGTTGGCGGGTGGGTAAACGCGCAGTGCGCAACATGGCGAATTTCGACACAATAAAATTAATAGAAGAAGTGAAACGTAGAAATGTGTTGTGGTTGAGTAAGGATCGTAGATTGCATGGAGAAACTGATACTAGGATCAAAGCATGGGAGGAGATAGCAGCGATATTATACCATAATTGGAACACTTGCTCTGAAGTACAACGAGTGCAGAGACGTAAGTTGTTGCTTTCTTTGTCTAGCATTGCGTTCTGACGGCCGGCAACCGCGGCACGGTCGTGTGCGGTTTTACGTCAGGATTTAATTAGGAGTTTAATTTTTTTCATTCGACTATTATGTAGGTATAAGGTACCTACATACTTATGTAATATTGATAAACGTTTACTATATACAGTTTAGGTTTTGTAATAGGCATAATTCATGATTGATTGTATAAATAATGACCTTACTACCTAACATTAAGTTTTAAATTACTGTCTTGGGTTCGATTTCCGGGTCGGGTTCCGCGTAATAGGAGATATTTTTATTTGTAACTTAGATAGAAATTGTAATAGATGTTAAAATTGTATTTGTTTGTAAAATAATAACTGCTTATCCGTAATAATATTTACTTATTCGTTGTTTTCAGTGGAACTTTTAAAGAAAAAATGGCGTAATGTAAGAGATTATTACAAAAAAGAAAAGAAGAGATTAGAATATCAAAGTACAACATCAGGAAAAGGTAGAGAAAGAGAAAAGAGACTGAACAACTACTTCGACCAAATGACCTTCTTAGATGATGGCCTAGAGAGACATGACAGTAATAACCCAGAAGAATTATTTGATGACAGGTATGAGGATTCTAATAATTCCACAGAGGATACTCTTCCCATAAGACCTGTAAAGCAAGAAGAAAAAGACCCAATACCAACGACCAATGAAATGCCGTCATTTGTAACGGAAATTCTGACAACTCCGAACTGTCAAGACGATTCAAAATTGACAGCGAACAGGAACTTTTTGCTCTCCTTACTACCGGATATGACGTCATTAGATGAGAGGAACAACATGATATTTCGAATGGGAGCATTGCGTCTGATGAGCGATATAAAATTCGGGTCGGATTGACCGCCTATTATACGGTTCACAAAACCCTATTTCTCGTTACTGGGGATCTGAAATAGCCGACTAATTAGAAATTGTAACCGGCGGGGAACTACATTTGCCTAATTCTAATGAACCTCGTACCTGCGAGCACCCAGTGGTAAATGCCGGATTCGTCCTAATTTTACTTCAATCTTTTGTGTTTCGGAACTTTCCGAATAGATATAAGAATTGTTATTTGTATTTTTGTGAGTATTATACGTAATTCACTAAAAATATGTGATTTCATTATAGGTAGTGGAAAAATTAAAATGTTTTATTTTTTTATTTAATTTCAAGTACCCTTTAAGTACCGTCATTATAGATACAATTAAAAAACAATAGGTTGCGGTCACCGGTGTCCTCGCGGTGGTTGACAGTTTAAATTGTTACTGAAAAAATGTTAATGTACGTTTAAAAAGGTGTTTTATTTTTTTAAGAATAAAAAAGAAAAAAAAAGCTAAATTACATCCGCCATGGTTTTGTTCAAAAGAATACATATACCTAATTTAAATGTACCTACTATCATTAAAACACTACCTACCTCTATTGTACAAAATTCAACACTGGTTTGTTAATGCTTAGTTGTACACAAAATATGTTGCATATTGCACATAAAACACGGCACATTCGATGCGATTGATTGGTTTTTAAGATCCAGCAACCTTTATGTTTGTAGGTACCTACTGTAAATTTGTGGTCAAACGTCGGCCCATCGAATATAAAAAAATAAAAGGTGAATTGTCAAATGAATAAATAAATAAAAAAAAAAGAAATGAATTGCCCCTAGTTGATACGAAGTTAGTACCAGTGTTGGCACACGTGATAATTCCGATTCCAATATCATTTTTACTATTTCACAGGTCTGGAACCAATGGAAGAAAACCCAAACTACCAGATAGCCACAATCCTGAGTGTGGCAGGAGTCATCTTCACATGCTACCTTCCAGCTAACATCACAGCATTCCTCATTGTAGTCACCGGCTACATTGAGGCACAAATGTTATCCCTCACAGAAGAATTGTTACATCTCTGGGAAGACGCAGAGTCCCACTATTACATAACACATCAAACAAATGCCATTTTAGAAGAAAGTATAGAAAACACGATGATAAGAAACAAAATTATAAATGATTATATAGAAAGCCACCTCAAGGACATTATAAAAACCCATGGGAGAAACATAAACTTGTTACATCAAGTTGAAAGTGTGTTTAGTGGCGCTATAGCTTTAGAATTTGTTATTCTAGGAGTTGGCTTAGTAGTAGAATTGCTTGGAGGACTAGAAAACACATATTTAGAGATACCTTTCGCCCTAGCGCAAGTTGGAATGGACTGCTTCACAGGCCAGAGAGTCATGGATGCCAGCCTAAAGTTTGAAAGAGCAGTTTACGATTGTAAATGGGAGAACTACAGCATTTCGAATATGAAGATAGTACTGATGATGCTCCAAAGTTCTCAGAAGACGATGAAGTTATCAGCTGGTGGGATAATCATGCTCAGCTTCAGCTGCTTGATGCAGGTCTTCAGATCAATATATTCCGCGTATACGACGCTGAGATCCACTATGAAGTAGATTTAAAAACAAATTAAGAACTAGAATAGCAACAGATGAAAATGTAAAAGTATTAAATAGAAAAAGAAATATATTTTATATAGAAGTTGCACAATAGACTAAACGCTTAGAACTAAAAGTGCAGTAAGCAATTAATATAATATTACTTCAGCTCGTGTTTTTTTGTCCAAACAACAATGTTGGTGAAACGACAAATTGTTTCATGATAACTGTGTGATGACCAATCGATGACAGAGGTAATTACTACAATATTGCAAAACAAATAACTGTAGTGGAAATATAAATTAAGTTTGTGAATAGGGTAAAATTTAATGATCGATTTAGGACTGAAAGTCAGTTGTGAAGAGGTGATATTGAAAAGGACTTCGATGGCTACCATGCCTTGTAATATAATTGAAGATTTATCTTCGTAGGAATAGAATATATTTTGTAAAGTTTATGAAATTTAATAGTACGCAAGTTGGGAAAACTAAAGATAAATTATTGATAACAAATACAGTGAAACATTTGTTGAATTCAAATGAAATGTCAACTAATTAATGTTGGCGTTGGCCAGCTATGAACAGCTAAATTAGGCTGTTTTCTTGGAGGTTTAAAGGTCGTATCGGTTTGGAAATACAGACAACGACAGTTCATTGCATAAGGTGCTGTGTCAGGCAGAAAATGTCTAGAGAAGAGCACAGCTTAACATTACCCACAGAAGAAAATCATAGTGCAAAACAACATTAAAAAAAAATAATTATATTGATATCCAACTAAGATATTAAAACTAAAATTGATGATGAAGGAAGCCATTCGTAAATTTGGTTTGGAGTACTGTGAGCTACCGGACATGTTGTCGAATGTATCCATCATGCTGAGAACCCTGACTCTTAACGTGGACAGCAGAAATAAGACACGTATGTACCTAGAATTATTTTTAATTAATCAATATTGAACAAGAAATAAAGGACACTTATATTTAGTTGATAATTGCCTATCAAATTTTCTGCTTCTTAATATGAAATATGTAAATATGAACTGCCTTGTTGGTCGAGTGGTCGCAAGTGCGACTGCCGGGCAAAAGGTCTCGGGTTCGATTCCCGGGTTGGGCAAAGTATTACTAGGTTTTTAAAAATCTCAGTAGTAGCACGGAGTCTGGAATTGTGTCCGGTATATGGCAATGGGCTCACCCCCTGTTACATGGGACTCATAACATAAATAGTGAAAAGGTGGGTGTTACATTCTACAGTGGCATTAAGTGCCGAAATGTGCACCTCTGCCTAACCCTTCGGGGATAAAAAGGCGTGATGTTATGTTATGTTATGTAAATATGAAAGATTTTCAAAAAATGATTTGCTTGTGTTTGATTTCACCATGATGGAAACTTGTCTGCTTATGTTTACGATCAAGATAAATGAAATATATTTTCTTAGTGCTTTTTTTGGCATAAGAGATAAACGACCAGATGGATCACCTGATGGTAAGCGATCATCGCCGCCCATGGACACCCGCAACACCAATGGAGGCACAGATGCGTTGCCGGCCTTTTAAAAAGGAATCGCTCTTTTCTTGATTTCTTGTCTTGTTTATTGAAAAGCCAATAAAGTTCCAAAGAAATTGATGTCATCATCTATCGAAAGACGTCCACTGCGGACACACAAGGATCTACCTCTTAGTTCTCCACGTCGAACAACTTAGTAATTGTTTAGCAGATCTTTTTATTTTGCAGCAATTCTAACTATATTCTACATTTCAATGGTAATTATGAGCATTGACTACATCTACGTGTATGTGCTCTCTGGAGCCTGGTTTTCACTCTGGCACTGTGTCAAGACTGGTGAGCTGGGTCCGGCTATGATCGCTTTCTCCCTCATGAGCACCAGCGCCGTTGCTTTCATTAAGCTGCTCTATATGATTTTTTATGAGTAAGTTTATTGATGACTGTCTTTTTTGGCACCATTAATGACTATCGTGAGACATACTAAATTAACTAAAAATCGTGGGTTATTCATGTGAATATATAGAGAAGAGCTGTACTAATTTCGAATCAGGTTCTTCCTCATGAGCAGTGGTCGCGGTCGCGATCTTTAGTTAACCATTAATGACATTATATGTGATATGATATTACATAGACAGCTTATGGGTATCCACTGCTGTCCAAAGGCCTCTTCTCACACGGAAAAGGTTTGCACATTAATCACCACGCTTGCTTAATTCGGTTAACGATTACAAAGTTATAATTAGAAATTAATAGTACAGGTTTCCTCACGATATTTTCCTTCACCGTTTGTCAGTGGTGTAATAATAATCATAGAAAGTACTAACCTGGAAAAAGTCGTATTGGTACTTATCAGGTTTTGGACTTATGCTTGAGAAGTGGGCGTCTTAAACCATCGGGTCATCATGACTTTTTGGTATATGATATCTGTAATCATATATTTTTGGACATAACGCAATAGTTATAACAAATCACTCTTTCATTTTCAGGGCAAAGTTCAAGAATTTAATAGACAGATACATGGCTTGTGATTCCCGGACAGTAAAAGACAGTAGGTTTTCAAAAAACTTGACTACAGCTCTCAGGAATGTGAAGAAGCGAGGGATTTTTTATTGGCTGCTACTGATTATAAACGCAGTGCTGTATATTCTGCGGCCAATGGTGACCCCTGGGCGACATTTGACTGTGGATACATTTATAATTATTGGTATGAATTATGACATAGCGTCATTTGATCCCTTGAAGAAGTAGATGGGCAAATAGGACATACAATTCACGGCAGTAGTTATATCAATATATTATGATTCTAAGAAAGGTTATTGTGCTAGACGCGTTACTACTCAGAATTCCACCATTTAATAGTACTGATAGTAGTCAAACCAGACTAAGCTTATCATTCAATACAGATAATTCCAGGTCTTTCTTCTTTCAGGTCTGGAGCCGATGTTCGAGTCTCCAAACTATGAACTGGCTACTCTAATGTTCATGATTGCTGTGTTCTTCATTTGTTTCACCGTAGCTAACGTCAACTGCTTCCTTATCATGATCACCGGGTATACAGAGTCCCAAATGTTAGCCTTAGCAGAGGAGATGACTCATATCTGGGACGATGCCAATGAGTATTACCAGATAATGATGAAAGAATTAAGCAGTTATGGTTCATTGTACTTGGATCATAAGGACTTTAATCGTGTAAAAGAAAAAGAGGTTCTTAATGATTATGTGACAGAACATTTGAAAGATATCATACAAAGACATGCATTCAACGTGAGCCTTCTAGAAGGGATCGAAGACGTGATGAGGGGACCAAATGCTGTCGGATTCTTGTTTCTCATTGTAGGTCTGGTAGCGGAATTACTTGGTGGATTAAATAACACGATATTGCAACTTCCATTTACCTTGTCTCAGATAGCAACGGACTGCTTTTTGGGCCAGAAAATAATGGATGCGAATATAAAATTTGAACACGCTGTTTACGATTGTAAATGGGAGAATTTCAACCAGGTGAACAAGAAGATTGTGCTGGTAATGTTGCAGAATTCACAGAAGACTATGACCCTGACAGCTGGTGGGATGGCGACCTTGAGTTTTAGTTACTTCATGAACATCATCAGGTCGACTTATTCTGTGTACACTACACTAAGATCAAATATTTAAAAGCTTTGTAGTCAATAAAGAGCTAAGACTTAATTTAGACATTTCATTTGCTGGAGATCCTAGAGATAGGTGCAGGTATTGGGTTGGTGGTAGTTAAAGTATAATATTAGGTTACGTTCATATTATTTCGTCTGTAATTATTAACGATGACACTTTCATCTACCAAGCCACTGTGACCCAGTTATCGATAAAATTGTATTAATAAGTTAAAGAAATGATGAATTTTGCATATATAAATTAAAAAGTACAAGTAATTACAAAATATTATTTTATAACTTTCGTTAGACATACTATTAATTATTATGGTTTTCGGCTTACTCGAGTATTTATTTGACGAGGAACTCGACTAGTTTCAAGCCATGCTAGAGGCTCATATTTATTCATCTCACATTCATGAACTAGTCGAGGTCCTCGTCAAATAATTACGCGAGTAAGTCGGAAAACATAATAATTAATTACCTTCAGTTGTTCAATCCAGTGGGTTGACGAGTCCTGAGCCATAATTATTTAAAATTAAGTGACAGAAAAGTGATAAGTTTATGACATTTCCTGTTTTCTATCCAAAACAAAGGAAATCTTTAGGAAAATTACTCAAAAACGATTTGTTACGTAAGTTTAATTAAATAATTTCGAATTTATTAAAAGTTATTTTCAAGATTAGTTAATAATTGTTTTCTAATTATTTTGTAAAAGTTACTTAAAGAGACCAAATGCTCGTGTAAGTGACGTTAGGCATTAGAATCTTAAAATATCACGTTGACAGTTTGTCACACAGTAACAGGAAAAAGAAGTTGACTACATAGCTTTTCGAACGCTAATTTAAAAGTAAAGACGATGAGATAGAATTTAAATCATTGGAGAAAAGTGGAGGTGAACTACCATGTTAGTTGAATAGTCGTACTTGCCACTGCTTTTATTTATTTATTTCTTTCGAGGGGGTTAAGTCATCCAATGTCTTCTCCCGCCTTGGGTTAGGCGAGGAAGTGTCAGACTCTTATTGATTAAAAACCATCCCGCTCCTACTGCTGCTCTTCGAGCCTGAGCCCCGGCAACCCATTAGGCCTTCCGCGTCTCCGTATCGGGCATCAGCCCTACTGGGCCCCCTCTGTGGTGGCTCTTTGAGGCGCTCGCAACGCAACGTACCGTACGCACGGGTCTGGTTGATACTTACGGTGGCCGGAGATCGTCGCGCAATCTCCAAACGCCGAGAATACCTCCCGCGAAGTCGTCCCTTAGCTAAAGAGGTGGTCGTGGATCCGAACAATATTTTCAATTGAAGGTCTTTCAAGGGCAGGGTACGGTAAGTTTGGCTAAGTAATAGGTTTGTCATTTTTATTATTCCTGTCGATAAGTGGCAGAAAAGTATGTTTCACGTCGATACTCAATATTAATATGTTCGTTTGTTTGAACGCGCTAATCTTCGTAACTGTTAATTCGAATTGAATTAATTAATTATTTTT